AAATAAAAACTTTGAGTCATTAATAAAGTCAAATGAAATAGACTATTCTTAACAATTAGTGGTGGATAGGGCAGTCAAAAGTGCCTAATTTTGCAGACAAGTACAACAAAATTTGGCGACATTCAAAGACCATCCTGATTGTAGGTAAATTTTGTTATGTGGGGTCCTTGGTGCTCTCTGAGCTTCCTTGTTCTCCCCCCCTCCACCCCCAGATATTTTGTCACCCTAACTAGAGATTCTCATTCCTCCAGGTCATGGTTGTCCCAAAGGTGGAGTCAGCTGGACTTTGTTTCTGTTTTACAGTTGCCTCCTAAAAAAACCAAAAACCTAACTAGGTAACCTTATCAGTGCTAGCACTGATGATGTTACCTAGTTTGGTAACGAAACGTCTGCAAGAAAACACGCTCAGAGAGCACCAAAGACCATTTCAAGCCTGAGCTACAAATATTGTCCTTTAAACTGTGTAAAAAAAATGTCTGCAAAAAAATTAGGCAGACTTTGTTCAATGCCCCGCCGTCTCTGGCCGTGGACTGAGCGACAGGAGACCCGCGTAGCCCTTTGGGGGGTCTCGAGCCCCTCACCGCCTTTTGCGACGGCGCGGCCTCGTCCGCGGGAAAGGAAAGGCGCTTCGCATGCGGGCAGAGGACCCTCCGCCTCAGCTGCCGGCCCCCAGGAGGCGAGCCAAGGCTCCGCGCTTGCGTGGCGGAGGAGGCCCAACCCAGCCCAGCCTTCGAGCGGGCGGCGGTTAGTGCCGGAAGCCGGCGCGATGAAGGCGGTGCTCCGGATGCCACGTTGAAGCGGAACGTGGAGGAGCCGCGGCTGCTGCGAAACGCCGAGGAGGACTTGGAGGAGGAAGAAGGCAGCGGCGGCGGCGGCGGAGCCTGAAGGGGGGCCCCAGCGGCGCTCCTCTCCGAGCAGGTGAGGCGTCTGCCGGGTGGGTGTGTGAATGGGGGGGGGGACCCTCAATCCCCAGCAGGCGGACGCGGGAGAATTGGGGCCGGGGACGCCCCTTTATTAGCCCATCCGCCTCGGCTTTGCGGTTGCAAAAGAGGCCGGACGATCCCAGGGAGCGGCGCTGCCTTTGGCTTCGGCTCCGCTTTTGTTCCTCCTGCTTTGGGCCTGTCCGTGGCTTCCAAGGCGGCGGTGTGCCCGTCCGTGGCTGGCCCAGCCCGGTTGGAGAATATAGAATGGAATAATAACTTTGTTGTCCCTTTGAATGTAGACGAATCCGCAGACATTACAATGAAATTTCGTGGCATGCAGCTCCCAAAGGGTCACCCCCTCCAATATACGCTACATAAACATGACTACATACATTTATTTACATACATACGTGCATACATAATTAGGCATGATATACAGAGGAACAACACGGATGTAGACATGGACATGGAGCTGCAGGCCAGCCCGTGGCTTTTGCAACCCCGCTCTTGGCTGCAATTTCCGGGCTAAAATTCCATATTTTTGCCACCTTAAGAATTGCCAACTCTCACCTTTCCAGGTTGGATTTGCTCCAGGGTTCAAAAGGGGGGGGGGAGGGGGGAGCTTTCAGCTGGTTCAAAGGAAAAGTGGCCAGTTTGCAAACTTATCTTTCTCTTGTAGCTCTTGAGTTTGCATGGTTGTGATTGTGGTTGTAGGAAAGAACAACATACCATCTGGGCAAAATCTTGCAGAAGGGGTTTCGCACTCAGTTCGTTGCCTACTTTTCTTCTTTGAATTTCAAGGTTGATATCCAAGCATGGGAAGGTATACAGAGAGAACACACTTCTATGATTATAGGTAGTCCTCGACTTATGATGACAATTGAGTGCCAAATTTCTGTTACTAAGTGAAACATTGGTTAAGTGAGTTTTGCCACATTTTTACAACCTTTCTTGTCGCCGTTGTTAAGGGAATCATTGCCATTAGTAGCACGGTTGTAAAGTAAATCTGGCTTCCCAGTTGACTTTGTCAGAAGGTTACAAAAGGTGTATCACATGACCCAGGGACACTGCAACTGTCGTAAGTGTGAGTCAGGTGCTAAGTATCTGAATTTTGATCACATGACCATGGGGATACTGCAATGGCTGTGTGAAAAACGGTCATAAGACACTTTTTTCAGTGCTGTTCTAACTTCAAATGGTCACTAAATGAATTGTAAGTCGAGGACTATCTGTAGTTGTTGTATCAGTTGCAAAATACATAGATAGTAAGTCCTATAAGATTGCCAACATATCAAATCTTACATATACATGAATTTTCACTCTTTGTTTTCATTAGTTACTTCCCTAATTTGTATGGTTGTTGCATTGGTACACGTTATCATTGTGTGGCTGAGGTTACCTGACACGATTCATTGAATCGTAGTTTACTCTTTTATTTCCTGCATTTACCCAACACACTGAAACGTAAATTAATCACATAGGCAGGATCTGGGCACAGTGCTAGCTAAACTTTTCTTCAGTGGCTTGGGTGAACACAGACTTTCCTTTCTGATGCCTGTTCTTGAAACCTGATTAAAAAGGCAAAATCATAGTTATTGTTCCCTCTGTATAGTTTGTTGGATTCAAAAGGATGGGAATTTTGGAGTGCAAAGGGAAGCTCCTAGAGCAAGGGTCTTCAAACTTGGCAAGTTTAAGACTTGTGGACTTCAACTCCCAGAATTCCTCAGCTAACATGACTGGAGGAGGAATTCTGGGAGTTGAAGTCTACAAGTCTTAAAGCTGCCAAGTTTGAAGACCCCTGTCCTAGAGCAACTGTCTACAACTTCTTAAATAAAGTGCAAATTTTGTGTGGATGAGCTTCCACTGCAGAGAGCAGCTAAATAAAACTTGGGGGAAAATGTAGTTGTTTCAAGGAAGTACATATAGGTGTTATCTGAGAACCCACGTGTGCTTTTGTGCATACAGGTAATCCTTGACCACAATTGAGCTCCAAATTTCTATGGTTAAGCAAGACAGTTAAGAGCCCCATTTTACGACCGACCTTGTCACAGTTGCTAAGTGAATCGGTGCAGTTGTTAAATTAGTGCAGGGGTCTTCAAACTTGACAGCTTTAAAGACTTGTGGACTTCAACTCCCAGAATTCCTCCTCTAGTCATGTTAGCTCAGGAATTCTGGGAGTTGAAGTCCACAAGTCTTAAACTTGCCAAGTTTGAAGACCTTTGAATTAGTGACACGCCTGCTAAGTAAATTGGTTTCCCCATTGGCATTGCTTGTCAGAAGGTGGCAAAAGGGGATCACATGACCCCAAGGCTGCCATAAATGTGAGTCAGTTGCCAAGCATCTGAATTTTGGTCACCTGGCCGTGGGGATGCTACAAAGGTTGTAAGTGTGAAAAACGGTCATAAGTCACTTTTTTCACTGCCTCGTAACTTCGAAGGGTCACTAAACAAATGATTGTAAATCGAGGATTACCTATACAGTTACAACAGTTCATGTAGTGACAGCTCGAAGTTACAACGGCACTGACCAATTTTCACACTTACTCTATCTGGGAAAAATCATAAAATGGGGCAAAACTCACTTAAATTTCTCTTTTAGCTACATAAATTTTGGGCTCAATGGTGGTAAATTGAGGACTACTTAAATTTTGCCTTTGCATCTGAATACTGCTAGTAATAATTCACACCGAACAAAAACATATTTCTGTATGGTTTGGAGAGCCCTGTCTGTATAAATACTAATCCAGGGACATGGTAATTTATTAACCGTAGCATAATAAAACTTAATTTAATATTGGGTTGATTTAGATTCTTGTATTTGGCATCCTGATTTCCATTATTGTGAGGGGAAAGAAGCTACAGCTTATTCAAGAGAAAGCAAAGCGTGCTAAGGATTCTTTTTCAATGTTCATCTCATTAGAGCCGATTGGAGAATTGTTTGATGTTGGAGGGTTCTGAGCATTCCTTTACAACTGCAAAGAGTAACCAGGGACCAAAGGTTGAATTATTTGAGATATGATTATGCAGAGGCCTCTCCCATATTGTCCCTCTGAATTCTTGAAATGTGCCGTGTTACACTTACAACCGGTCACTTAGCCGTGAGTTCGCTTAACAACTGCAGTAGTTACTTAGCGACTGCCACAAAAAAGGTTGTAAAATCGGGTTTGGTTATTTATGACTGTCACAACACACAATTTATGACTGTCACAACATACGACCATAATGGGCAGGCTCCATTACACTTGTATGTTGAGAACTATCTGTAGTCAGTTTAAAATATCCCATGTCCAGATTAAGAACTGTTTTCTCATTGAAGGACCGTGAATAAGTTAGGGATCTCTTACAAATACTATTTTATGGCTAATTCTTTCGCTTCAAGCATTTTATTTCAAGATAGCTTTTACATCGGGGTGGCAAACTCGCGTCGTCATGGTGGTGTCACGTGACATATCGGGAGTTTCCCCCCTTCGCTAAATTAGGCGTGGGCGTGGCCAGCGCATGACGCATCCAGCCCGCGGGCTGCAAGTTTGATAACCCCGATTTACATAGTATTTTAGGTGGAAAAAAAACATGGCCTAGGCAGTTGTTGCAAGATTGATCCGAAAGAATGTATAAAATACAGTACAGTCATCACAATATGTTTCTGTTCTGTGGCCTGGTGTGTTATATTTTGGGATCTTAGCATGATGTGCAGACTCACCAATTGTGATTTGTGAATCATGTTTTATATCTTTGTGTATACTATAAACCCATTAATTTGGGTTTATTTAATAAATTATAGTTAAATTATATAGATAAAGGTTTCCCCTGCCAGTCATGCTTGACTCTAGGGGCCGCTGCTCATCTCCATTTCCTAGCTGAGGGAGCCAGCATTGTCCAAAGATGCTTCCATGATCATGTGGCCACCATGACTATATGCCGAGATGCACGAAACGCTGTTACATTCCCACCAAAGTGATACCTATTTATCTACTTGCATTTGTACTGCTAGGTTGGCAGGAGCTGGGGTAGGAATGGGTGCTCACCCTGTCACATGGTGCTTTGGTCTTGGAACTGCTGACTTTCCAGTCGACAAGCCCAGTCGGTCACCACATCCATAGTTAAACTGTGAATCGTAGAATTGTTTAAAAGCCACGGAAGTGTTTAGTTCAACCTACTGCAGGAATGCACTATTATAGGATCCTCAGCAAAGGACCATCCAGTTTCTGTTTAAACAGGTCCAGCTGAGCCAAGATCATCATTTACTGAACATCCTTTCCAGAGGTGGTATTCAGCAGGTTCTGACCAGTTCTGGAGAACCGGTAGCAGAAATTTTGAGTAGTTCGGAGAACCGGCAAATACCACCTCTGACTGGAGATTTTACAGTATCTATTCCCTACCATGCTGACCAAGTCATGCCCACCAAACTGGTAGTAAAAATTTTTTGAATCCCACCACTGATCCGTTCCATTGTCACAATTCTTCTAATCTAACTAACATTGTCTTTTTTTTAAAGCTTGTTGTGCAAGTCCAGTCGGTTGTCTTCCGTTGCTGTGGCTTTTTGATAGATCTTCTATGTTCTAAATTGTTTCATCAGAAAAAAATTAGATAAATACGAGAGAGGATCCTATAAAACACTTCCCCAACAATAATCAATACACAAATCAGCATAGACTAAGATTAACTCCAGACCAACAAGACCAAGAAGTAAACAGTAACCCAATCAAGGAACTGCCAAACAAGCAAACAGTAAACAGCCCAACCACCCTGAACACTCTAACCAAGACTGACAGGGCAAGCTACTAGGATATAAATTGAGAGCAAATCCTATTCTTTACTAGCACTGATGATGTTTGGGTAATAAAATGTCTGCAAGGAAACAACCAAACTCAGAGAGCACCAAGGACCCCCTCATTTCAACCCTGAGTTAAAACATCCTCCTAAAATATCCTATATCCTCCTTTTATTGACACTTGTATTAAAATAAATTTTATAGGGAAAGATCCTTGGTGCTCTCTGTTATAGGTATTTCTTGTTTGTTTTTCCTGGGGCTGCTGCGTCTTGAAGTTTACTTGGGATGTTTTGAACGGCTTTAGTTGGTTTGTGTGCTAGGATGATACCATGTGGTTGTAATAGTCTTTGGGTGGTTTCTGAGTTTTTAACACTGCCATCTCAGCTCAGGAATTCTGGGAGTTGAAGTCCACAGGTTGTGAAGGGGCCGCAATTGCCCACCCCTGCTCTGTATTATGCCCCTGGCTGAAATATATCTGGGTAATCTGCTTCTTCCAGGGCCTTCTGTTCACCTTCTTAACAACTTTTGCCAAAAAAGGGGAAGCTTTGAAGGTTGGATGAAAATTATCCAGAATCATTGGGTTTAGTAATGTCTTCTTAAATAAGGAGCATACTGACCTAAAGGTGAAAGACAGTTGAAACCATAGGCATGAACTCACTAGTCATGAATTGTGCTTTGTTGCACACTGACCTGGCAAATAGCAGATATTTTATGTTCGGGTAATTTTAGATTCCAAGTGGAGCATAAAGGAGAATAAACAAGCCTCTTTCCTAGTGCATGAAGTCAAGAAATTCTGTGAGAGATGCATCATAACATCACACTTATAATTATCTCAATCTTTCTCTGTTAACTCAAACCCTATTTACATTTTGAAAGTGCTGAGAGCAAATATAATAGAATGCCACAAAACTGGGGACAAAGCATTGACTAACCGGGCTTTATATATTTTGTATTTTTATTTGGAAACGTAATGCTCCATACTCTACTTAGAAATCCAGTTTGGAAATCTAATTTTGAGAAAGATCTAGGATGGTAATACAGTGGAGTAGAGTGGAGTAGCAGGCGTATAAATTTAATAAATAAATAAATAAATAAAGAGAACACTTGTTTGGTCTTTGTTTTAGCAATAAATAACTTTTGAGTAATGTCCATCTTTCTTGCCTCTAGCGACGGTTTAAGGCAGGTTTCTCCAAGTTCGGCGAGTTTATGACTTGTGGACTTCAACTCCATGGCTGGCTGAGGAATTCTGGGAGTTGAAGTCCACAAGTCATAAAGTTGCCAAGGTGGGAGACCCCTGGTTTAAAGCAAAGAGAAGCATTCAATCCACGAAGACCTGAATCACATACTGGTTATTGAAATGTCTTTAGTGAGAAAAAGATGTGAAACTGGAGGAAAAAGGGCTTTCCTTTGGATGTCTTTTCTCCGGGGGTGGGGTGGGGTGGAATATTAAAATAAGTGATCTTAGTAGGATAATAGCATTGATGTTGTTTATATTCCTTTTCTCAGCAGGATGAAACTGAAAGAGGTAGACCGTACTGCCATGCAGGCTTGGAGCCCTTCTCAACATCATCCCATTTACTTGGCTGCAGGTAGGTTGTTGGGTTTGATTTAAGAGGATTAGGCAGGAAGGACAGAGAGGAGGCGGGGGTCAAGCTATTTTCCAAGGCACTTGAAGGTCAGACAAGGAATAGTGGATGGAAACTAATCAAAGAAAGATTCAACCTGGAAATAAGGAGAAACTTTCTGACAGTGAGAACCATCAACCCATGGAACAGACGTTGCCTTCAGAAGTTATGGAAGCTTCATCACTTGAGACTTTCAAGAAGAGACTGGACTGCCATTTGTCAGAAATGGTGTAGGGTCTCCCGCTTGGGCGGGGAATTGGACTAGATGACCTACAAGGTCCCTTCCAACTCTGATTATCTGTTATCTGAATGCGCAGAGTGGCTTCCAAAATTCTTTGCAACCTTTTAATAGCAGCTTCACTCTGAGTCATGTGACTAGGATGAGACCTGCTTAAAATGGAAAGGTGGGTAGCATTCCTGACCTTTAACCAATGTCTTCTTTTTCTCCCCAACAATTTTGGTCCTGTTTATTTTTACTTTTGGAAACCTATCATGTTGATGGATAGATAGTTAAACAGAGCCCTGAGTCCCTTTCCATATTTTTTTTCTACCACTCTATTGAACTGGACAGATTAAAAAGGACTGAGTTATTTTTTTTTTTTTTAGCACTCCATTGGACTGAGCAGATTTTTTAAAAAGGACTGAATTATATTTTTCATTCCAAACATGGACATACTTGATAATTACTGCACTTGAAAGTTACAACTGGCAAAAAGTTACATTTCTTTGATTATGTGGAAAGTGGAAAAGGATACCTAACAAACTAAAGTATTTAGGACAGACAATATCCATCTAATTCAGATCTCCTATTTAGCACCACATGCCCTATCTTTGCATGTTGATGTCCAGTTCATCTTTTAGAGCCACTGACTTCATGAATTACTGGAGCTATTGTTCCAAAATTGAAATAACATTTGTTTCATGGCTTTTTCTGAATTTTGTGCCATCCAACCAAGAGAAAAGATCCATTTATAGTACAGTCCTTTGCATGTACGCATGGAAGAAAACCCTGCTGTATATGCAGATTCCAGCCTTTTTGCAGCTTTTACCTAGTTAAACTTGGGCCCTGAACACCAGAGGGCTATTAGCACCTTAACCTCTCTTTCTGGGGGGGAGGTTACAAGTTTCCTTACCTAATGAGCATTTCAGACATTCACCAACAGTGCGATATGCTGTACAGTTATACCCCTATCCTCCAATAACACCCTTTGCTTTTTCCCACTCAAAATCCACCTCTGGAAGGAATTTGTGTCATCTAGCCCAACTTTCTGCTTTGTGCAGAATCTGATAAAATATTCTAAATAGATGGCTGTACAGGTGGTCCTCGACTTATTTCCACAATTGAGGCCAAAATTTCTGCTGCTAAGTGAGATGTTAAAGTTAATTTTGCCTCATTTTACAACCTTTTGTTGCCATGGTTCAGTGAATCACTGCATTTGTTAAGTGAGTAAGATGGTTGTTAAGTGATGGTTGTTAAGGCTTCTCCTTAGCTCCGCCGAATTATGTTGGAATTCATAGGCGCCCTTTTATAATACATCGGTATTAAGCAAATGTGTGTTTCTTGCAGGTACCTCTGCTCAGCAGTTGGATGCCACTTTCAGTACCAATGCTTCCCTAGAAATATTTGAACTTGATTTGACAGACCCAGCACTGGATTTGAAGTCCTGTGCCACTTTCTCTTCCCCTCATAGGTGAGTCCTGGATGTTAAAGCTTTGTTTATGCTTTTGAGAATTGCAGGAAAGGGAAGGGCGGCACGGTAGCTCAGTGGTTAAGATAGGCCCCAGACCGGAGCTGCATGCGACAGGGTGAGCTACCATCTTTGCCCCAGCTCCTGCCAATCCAGCAGTTCGAAAGCATGCAAATGCAAGTAGATAAATAGGTACCACTTTGATGGGGAGGATACTGGCCACATGATTGTGGAAATGTCTTCAGACAGCGCTGGCTCGGTGGCCTTGAAACAGAGATGAACACCTCCCCCTAGGATTGGCAACAACTAATGGAGTAAAATACAAGGGACTTCTTTACCCTTTTTTTTAATAGGGAAATGTCAGAATGTAGTAGTTAAGGGCTGCATCAATTTTTCAGAGCTGTTGCGGGTTCAAACAGTCATTAAATGAATGATTGTAAGTCAAGGATTGCCTGTATGTATTTTTATGGTTTTATTGTTTTTCATATTGTAAGCTGCCCAGAGTTGCCTTGTGGTGTGATGGGTAAGAAATAAATGTAATAATAACTACACATTCTGTATTCGTGCGGGCCTGGGAGATGGGATTGGAGAAGGAAGATGCAAGAATTAGGCAACAAGTACAAGTTTCTTAGATTTCATGATACTCGGATTTGGTAGCAGAAAGTAAGTGTCTGTCAACCATCCCAACTGTCAGTTAGAAAAGAAAGATGTTTGAATACATTATTAGCAAACATACACTTTACTAAAGCCAAGTGATTACAAAAGAAGCAAAGCCGGATCTGGGATTTTCACGCACAAAGCATATGGTTAATTTTTCCCTTGTTCCCACCTCTCTCTCTCTCCCCCCCTCCCCCTCGTTATCTGTGAATCCAACTAGGTGCTAACAAATTGTTTGGGTAACAGTCCCTGTCTTCGTGGGCTGGATGGTTTTGCATTCCATAGTGTGATCTTGGAGTGGCTGGTGGCTTTCACGGGATGGCACGATGTGTAGTTTCAATTCCTCTCGTGCTTATCCCACCCCACAATCCCCCCTCCCATTGAGTATGGCAGGCTGACAGCAAACAATGCATGGCATATGCATTGCTTGCTCTAGCTTCATCCTCCTTTTCAGCCTCCTTTTCACAATCGCACTAAGCCATATTATGTTAATCAAACTGTGGTCTTCTTGACTAGCCTTAGGTGCTGGCTTAAAAATTACAGAACTTGGAATTGTGTACTGGGTGCGTTTCGTTAACAGGAAGAATTCTACCAGTGGAACTGGTCTCAGCTTTTGATGTCAGTTTTGACAATATCAATGCTCCTCAGAATAACAAGAGTTCTGCTTATCTCGAAACCAGGGGTGTCAAACTCAAGGCCCGTGGGCCGCATCCGGCCCATGGGGTGCTTAGATCTGGCCTGTGGGGCTGCCCTGGAAACAATGAAAGACTGGCCCACAATGCCTCTGCCAGCGAAAATGGAACTTGGGAGGGGTGCGTGAGGACCTCATGAGCTCTGTTTTTTTGTGGGAGAGGGTTGCAGGAGGCTGTCACGGCTGAGAATGGACCTCAGGAACCTGGTTTTGCTGGCAGAGTGCTCGAGCCACCACAGGCGCCCTGACATGAGTGATGTTGACCACCACCATCCCAAGGTCAAACACAACCCTGATGAGGCCCTCAACAAAATCGAGTTTGACACCCTTGTCAGAGGGTGCTCATTTTCACTGGCAGAGCCTTCGGGCCACAGGCACCACTGACACGAGTGACATCAAACTGGCCACACACACACCCCACCCCCGAGGTCAAACACAACCCTGATGCGGCCCTCAGTGAAATTGAGTTTCACACCCCTGCTCTAAACCAATATTTTACTGAAGCCTTGAACCTTGGTTATTCTGTACGCTCCCTATCATCATCAGCGTCTTGATTTAAACACTAACAGATCAGCCTTTTCCCCTTCAAACTTCTTAAAAGCAAATACAAAATGCCCATTTTTTTTGAAAGCTAAAAAGTGGATTTTCACAAGTGAAAAACTTGTGTCCTTCACTTGTTGCTGATCAACAGTTCACAGTATCCCATGCTGTTGACCTTGTATGAGAGGTACCTGTGGGTTGTAAATAAGCACTGTTGGAGGGCCCAGAGTTCATCAACCCAATCCAAAGTTTTTGTTTAAATAAAGTAGGTACCTTTGAGTCAATCTTCATTCCCAGTGACTGCCTAGACCAGGGGTAGGGAAACTTGGTTCTTTTATCACTTATGGACTTCAACTCCCAGAATTCCTGAGTGAGCCATAAAAGGTTCCCCATCCCTGGCCTGCTGGTTTTTCAGTTGTGAGAGAAATCATTTTTTGACTTGAATGGGACTGTTTAATATACAAATGTAGGACATATTCTTTATATTAATATGTCCTACATTTGTATATTAAACAGCCCCATTCATGTCAAAAATTGATTTCCCTCACAACTGAAAAACCAGCAGGGCAGGGATGGGGAACCTTTTATGGCTCATTCTGGAATTCTGGGAGTTGAAGTCCATAAGTGATCAAAGAGCCAAGTTTCCCTCCCCCTGGCCTAGACAAGTCTCCACCGTTGTTTCGTCAATACTTTTGGAAGTGATTTGCCCTTGTCTTCTTCCTAGTCTGGGAGAGAGGGAGTGACCCTCTCACTCAGCTGACTTTGTTTCTAAAGCAGGACTAGAACCCACAGTCTTCCTAGTTTCTAGTCTGGTGCCTTAACCCCCTACGTCAGGGGTGTCAAACTCGATTTCATTGAGGGCCGCATCAGGGTTGTGTTTGACCTCAGGGGGACCGGGGTGGGCATGGCCAGTCAATGTCACTGGTGTCGGTGGAGCCTGTGGCCCGAGTGTTCTGCCAGCAAAAGCGAACTCACAAACTCTGTTTTTGGCTGGGACGGCCTCCTGCAACTCTCTGCCAGCGAAAATGGCCCTCCTGAGCTCCGCTTTTGCTGGCACAGGCACCGCAGGCCAGTACTTCATTGTTTCCCGGGCAGCCATGCAGGCCAGAACTCAGCACCCTGCAGGCCGGATCCAGCCCTTGGGCCTTGAGTTTGACACCCCTGCATTACGTCACACCGGCTTTCTTTTACCTAATATAGGGTTCTACCATCCAATCTTGTTTGCTTTATGTTCCGATGGAAATTCCAATTTGGTCCCCTACTGGCAAACTCAATAGCATCACCTCTCAGAAGGACAGAACAAGGCTGATGGAAAAAATACTTCTCCATGACTTTTATTTCTTGACATCGTCTTGCAGGTATCACAAATTGATCTGGAGTCCTCACAAAACAGCATCCGATGAGACGCTTTCCGGAGTTCTTATTGCTGGTGGTGAAAATGGGAATATAATTTTGTATGATCCAGCTAAAATATTAGCTGGTGAAACCGAAGTCATGATTGCTCAGAATGACAAGCATACGGGGCCTGTAAGATCTCTGGATGTTAATCTATTCCAGGTTAGATTTCCCTTACAACTTTTCCTAGTGTCTTCAAAGCATATAAGATCAAACTTCCCCATTCTGCTCCCCTCTTAAGTTTGATAGATCACAGTTTCCAGCAGTTTCCGAGCCATCGTGGTCACTTTTCGTGAGATGGGCACAAGAATTTAATATAAATATATCAACATTTGATAAATTAATTAAAAAATCGTTAGCGTTAGCTTTTTTTTTTTTGAAAAAGCGGCTTTTGATGCAATGTAAATTCATAGTGCTTGCTTTGTGTTACAGACAAATCTAGTAGCTTCTGGTGCAAATGAGTCAGAGATCTACATCTGGGATTTAAATAACTTTGCAACGCCGATGACACCAGGAAGCAAGACACAGGTATGAGATTTATATTACATCTGCATGGACTGTGAAAATCACTTGATAACGGGTGAAGTCCTAGATGTTCTGTTGCCCTTAGGTATAATTGTATTTGGTCTTTGGTGATTTGTCCTATCTCTGGATTTAGTAGGTGTCCAGTGATGATTTTTAAAGAAAATACATTTGATTTCTCCTACAGTGTATGAATGTTCTAAAATGCACAAACATCCTTAGGTGTTTGCAGGTTATTCTAGAAAAACCGGTTAAAAAAAAAATAGTGAGATACCTCTGAGTCAAAGAAGCATCATGTTCCTTAGAATAACAAATACAAAGCATTGCATTTTGGGGAGTATCCAAGTCTTATGTTTGCCCTCTAAAAGCACATTGGATTCTTAATACCATCTTGTAAACATGACTTGACAGTTTTCCCCAATAGCTCTTCTGTTCCATCTACTTCCTGCTTGGAGTTCCTTGCATGAGTAATAGCAATAGCCACAGCACTTAGACATATATTGCTTTACAGTCCTCTCTAAGTGCTTTACAGAGTCAGCCTCTTGCCCCAACAATCTGGGTCCTCACTTTACCAACCTCAGAAGGACAGAAGGCTGAGTCAACCTTGAGCCTGGTGAGGTTCGACCTGCCAAATTGGCAGTCAGCCGGCAGTCAGCAGAAGTAGCCTGCAGTACTGCACTCTAACCACTGTGCCACCGTAGAAGAGAAAAAGCTAACACATTCATTGTGCATAGTAAGTATTAAGCTAAGAAAGATTGAATCAATTTCCAACCTTTTTTCCCCCCAACAGCCTCCTGAAGACATCAGCTGTATTGCGTGGAACAGACAAGTCCAACATATCTTGGCCTCTGCGAGCCCCAGTGGTCGTGCTACCGTGTGGGATCTCAGGAAAAACGAACCTATCATCAAAGTCAGCGACCACAGCAATCGGGTAGCTATTCAGCTGCAGTGTCGAATTTATGCCTTAAATGCAACAGATCAGGGGGAAAAAATAATTTGGGGAATAATTAGAAAGTTACAGGAACTTCGGACAATCACTAAACCAAGAGCTATAAGTTAAGGACTACCTGTAGCTTAAGACCCTGTGACATCATGGCAGGAGTTGGTCTCCCTTTATTACAGTGTCTGAAGGACTTAATATTAAATAGGATTCTACACTCTTAAAAGGAGGTTAACTCAATAAAAGATTCTTGTTTGCCTTTATTGGCTTTAAAAGGAGACGGCTAATGCCTTTCATAAATGTAAAAACATTGGAGAAAAGACTGGTATGCGGTGTGGGTTTCTCCTTTTTTACTATGACATTTTGTTCTAATATCCCTAAGTTTGTCACAAGAGTCTTAGAAAAAGCGGAATGGTTTAAAGACGTGGATGTACTTCTGAATTAAAATACCAAAAAGTTGGAGCTTGTAAGGAAAAATTATAAAATTAGCCAACATGGGGAACTGTAGGAAAGATTTCTGTTCAGTGCTGGAAAAATGGTGGAACCCCAGATTACAACTCCATGATCGGTAGGTGTGCTCAGTGTTTTGTTTATGGGCTGACTCAGTACAGGTAGTCCTCGACTTACGACCACAGTTGAGCCCAAAATTTATCTTCCAAATGAAAGATATGTTAAGTGAGCTTTGCTTCCTTGCCACAGTTGTTAAGTGAACCACTGCAGCTGTTAATTTAGTAACACAGTTGTTAAGTGAATATGGGGATGCCGTGACCTCTGGACACAGCGATAGTCCTAATTACAAACCAGTTGTCATGCCTCTGGATTTTGATCACGTGACTACAGGGATGCTGCAATGTTGCAAGTGTGAAAAATGGTCCCATAAGTCCCTTTTTTTCAAGCACCGTTGTAAATTTGAACAGTCACTAAATAAATGGTTGTAAGCCGAGGACTACCTGTATTAGTATAATGGAAAGACAGATCAGTATTTTTCATGTGCTCAGATTTTAAAGCTACGTCTGAAAATTTGACTGAATAATTGCGTAATATAATATTTTGTGTTTTTTTTCCTCTTCCTGGTTTTTCTTTTTTTAATCCCTTCTTGTTTTTCTTTTCTCCCATTTCTGTATATCAAAGCACTACATGTAAGGATTTTTTTTTTTTTTTGAAAACAAGTTTTATTAATTTTTTAAAACACACAAATTATCATTATTCATTACATGTTTAAACCTTTTTCCATTGTAAATTTAACAAGTCAGATAAATTATGATTCTGTTTTAAACCATTTCCATATAATATACCAAAACCTCTTATTCAATTTCTCTTTACTTCTCTTTACTCTTATTCAATATCATTATTATTATTTCATCTGATTCTTTCTGACTTAGTTACCATTATTCTCATTCTATATTTCTACAAGTTTTTACCAATTCTCCCCCCAAAAAAGACATATACACACAACACACAAAACATAAAAAAAAATCTTTTTGGAAAGTAACTTGGACCCAGGTATTTCTCTCTTCATGGACTTCAATTATATTCATGCTCATCTTACATATCATTACTTATTTTATTTACCATTCTAACCCTTCTATATTAACTTCTCCACATATTTCACACTTCTTAATTCTACCTTAATTAATCATCTTAGTTTAAATCATTATATTTGTATCTTTTGTCCATTTTTTATCATCCCTTTGTCTCATCCCTTATGAAAAAAAAGAAAATCAGTTTCTCCTGAAATCATTAATCAGAGTATGATGCCTTTCTATCTCCCCCCTAAGTTAATCAAATTAATCTTTAAAATAATATCTAATACCCAATCAGATTTTGCTTGGTACATTCTATCTAACTAATACATCCAACACAATTAAGTGCCTAATTAGACAATAAATCCAAATATTAAAAAGAAATACTATAATAAAAATTTTATAATAACATCAATACCATAATTTTATTAAACTCTTTAATTAAAACAATATTCTAAACCTCTCCTATTATTAAGTTTTAAAGCCAATCATTTTTAAACATTTTAACATTTTAATCTCTTATCAACTCTTAAACCATTGCAATACTACCATCTCATCTTATGTACCTTGCAAAATCTTTTTTTAAAAAAAAAAAATTATACTTTATCCATTATCCATAAAAAATTCCTTTTTTCCATTTAATTTCAAAACATTGTAGCTTTTCTCCACCTTTTCCCTTTCTTTCTTTTCCCAACACACCTTTCTACCCCCCCTTCTTCTAGCCTCTGCCTTACCGGCTTCCCTTCTCTGTCGTATTTCTTTTCCCCTTTGTTTACAATCATCATATTGGTTTTGCACTTTATTTTTCCCTTTCTTAAATGTTTTTTTGGATCTTAAGTCCTTAAATCCTTTAGTTTTCTTCTTTTCTCTTCTCTTCTTTTCTTTCTCTCTTCCTTTTTTCTGGATCAAATTCTGAGGTTCATTAAAGATGGCTCCTTCCTTTCTTTCTTGTTCCTCTGCTGTCTTCATCTGTTGTAATTTTTGTTGATAATTAGTAAGCGCCATTTCTAAGAAAAGGAAAGCTTCTTCCACACCATCTTTACCATTTTTTTTTGCTTGTTCATATTCTTTTCTTAGTTCCTCAACAGAAAGAGCCATTATAAATCTTTTCTTTTCTTTTCTCCTTCTTTCTTCTTACAACAACCAGAATATTCAAAAGAAAATAAAAAAGATAAAACAGTCCCAAAGTTATCAATCAGTCCAAACCAAGGCAGAGTTCTCACTTTCTCCTTCTGGGGTAATATCAATCAAAGAGAAAGAAAGTCCAAATCTGTTTAAAATCTTATTACAATATATTCTAGTCTTCAAATCCTTAAGGCATCTGCTCCAACAAATCTTAGCATACAAATATTTTCTTCTTAATCCTCTCTCTTCCCACTCATCGCTTAAAACCAATTTCCACCTAAAAAAATAGGTTTCTTAATATCCAGTTATTTATTCCGTAGGAAAAGAGGGAAAGCTATCCTTTCAGCACCTTCAAGCAGCCGCTTTTTTCCTCTTCTGGCAGGTATTATTCAGAGAATCATACTTTTCAGGAATTTTATTAAATATGTCTTAGAGTCCTAGGAGCCAAGAAAAACTTTCTCCTCTCAATCACTTTCTCCACTTCCTCCTGCGCATTCTTACCCGGCTGCCAGCTTCTTTGTGGCGGCCATTACGGACCGCCGCTGCACCGTCCTGGGAAAAGGGAGTTCTGCCGGCCAGGGAGGGAGTCTGCAGCACCCCCAAACCCTTCTCCGGATCCCCCCTACTTCAGCTGCCCCTGCAGGGCAGCCTAGCTCCGTACCCGGCTGGGTCGGAGCCCCAAAAACGGCTAGCGCGGCAGGGATCGCGCAGCTTCGCAAATCCCTGCCGCTCGCGAAGCCGACAAACCGGAAGACCCTACATGTAAGGATTTTTAAAATGTGTTGAATTTAAAGTTGCTTCGCCAGGTTATCTTTTATTTTTTTTGTAGGGAATAAGTACAATGTCATGGTTCCGAGTAATGCACCCATTGAAATCAGAAAGCTGAGGCAGGTAGATTCCTCAAGGAACATGTTTATTGGATACATCATATCAGCACAGCCGGTGACAGTTCCCACGCTTTTCACTTACTTAAAAGAGTAAAACTCCCCCCTCCCAGGTGTTACCGATCACATTGTCCAATGAAGGTGGAAGGCAGGCTCCTCTCCCTGTTTCAGTGACCTTGGTTCCCATAGGAAAACTTTTTGTTTTGACTAGCCGGGCGATCTACTTCCCCCCACCCTTCCCTCTCTCAGGCTTCGTGGCAACTATGAGGCAGCACAAGATGGCTTCAACCAGGTTCGCTTCAGAGTTGACATGCAAATGTCCTTCATTACCAATGTAAAATAACTATTATGGAAGTAGCGGATCCATACAGTGCAGATTGTATAATCCTTACATTCTCTTTCTCGGTCTCTTTCCCCTCCCCCCCCCCTTTTTTTTTTTAAGTACTTGAGATGATGCTATACATGAAGCCACATGTAGGTAGAGTGTAGCATATTCATTTACGGTACGTGGCTAGGAGGTGTGCCTAGCTTCTCCATTTTACAGATTAATTTTTGGCTTGTTAAGTGTATGAGCCAGCTGTTTTCATAAATATGCAGGGGGATTACCTTCTGATCTCTTTGAGATTTTCACATTCTGCATGTTAATTGCTGCCCTAGCAGTTGTTGCAGTCAGTATGTGGGGCTACATATTGAACATGTTTTTCTAAACCAGGAAAAGTATTGTTGAAAATTACTAGGATGCTGCAGTATTTCTAAGGAAGAGAAGCCATGTACTAAAGGAGCTTGTAAAAGAGAAGTAGTTTTCTTTGACATTTATATAATGAGCAGTGTGGTGGCCTAAAGGTAGAGCTGTCGCCTCACAATAAGGAGGCTTGTGAGTTCGATCCTAGTTAGTGGCAGATATTTCTCTCTCTGGGCACAAAGAGAAAATACTGCTGTGAACTGTACATAGGAAGGGCATCTGGCCAGTAAATGCTTAGCTCCATTCGGTCACCCCGATGCAAAGGATTACAGGGTTGTTTAAAAAAAAAATGAACACTATTCATACCATTCCAGATGCATTGCTCAGGGCTGGAATGGCATCCTGAGGTGGCTACGCAAATGGTTCTGGCATCAGAAGATGACCGGCTACCCGTAATCCAGATATGGGACCTGAGATTTGCATCTTCTCCTCTTCGCGTTCTTGAAAACCATGCAAGGTGCATAAAATACAGATTTGATTGAATGTGGGCTAGAACAGGGGTCACCAACCTTTTGGACCTCGGGGACCACCAAACTCATAATTTTAAACCCTGCGGACAGCAGCAGCTTCTCCACTCCATGGCAGGCCAGTGCACCCGGGTGGAGGAGCAGCTACTCCGGGGCCAGTCTTGTGACTACTGCAGCTCTGGAATATGGGACCGATTTCCCCTCCAACGTCAGCAAGCCACCCCGGGGCAGATTTCCCTCCCCCGCTGTTGGTCTTACCTTCCAATTCCAGCTCGCGTAGCTCTACTCAAGGTTTGCGCTCAGCTGAAAGGTGGGGGCCAGCGGGTGGACGGGCCATGTGGGTGGCGCAGCCTTATGTTCCCGCGCAGCCTGGATTAATTGCTTTGGGGGGGACATTCCTCTGCGGACCACCAAAATTTTCTCGTGGACACCAGTGGTCCCTGGCCCACTGGTTGGCGACCACTGGGCTAGAAAGACTGGTGAGAGATGTTAGGCCCAAATATATTGATAGATTTTCATGGAAGGGGGTTGCCAAACAAACGATTAAATAAACATAATTGGAAAATAAACATATAGGATTGGAAGATGATTGGAGATACATATTTTTTTAACAGCGTTTAGAATAAGATTTTATTTTATTTGAGAAAAGGGCAAAAAATGGACTCTTAAGCATTTTGGTTGATTGTTTTGTTTATGATAAAGGCCCTTTTATTCTAAGTGTTTCCTCTTTTTCAAATTTTAATGTCCCATTGATATCAGTTACATATTTGCAATGTTTGGTTAGTTTGATAAGCATTTGATATTTTTTTACACAGAGGTATTTTGACAATTGCTTGGAGCATGGCAGATCCTGAACTACTGCTGAGCTGTGGCAAAGATTCTAAAATCCTTTGTTCCAATCCAAACACAGGAGAGGTATTTGCTTTTAAGTAACATTTATACTTTAGAAATTTAAAAATATGTCAGTATATAAAGAGCTCATCAGGTTTTCACCATTTACTTGCATCAAAGTAAACTTATTGCTACCAACTTTCTAAATTTTTGAACCCTAATGAAAAAATAAACATCAAATAACATCAAGTTAAGTTTTTTTGTTTTTGTTTTTAAACCATTTGTGTAGCTTGAATATAACCTTTATATTTTGTGGTGTGATTTGGGGTACATGTTGGCTTGGAAAAGCTTGCATGTTACTATTTATCAACTGTATACATTAATGAAACAAGTATACATAATAAAATACAGAATTCCTTTTAAAATCTAGTAATAGTAAATACAGGGGATCCTCGACTTACAACATCAATTGGGTCCAGAATTTTCGTTGCTAAGCGATGCGGTTGTAAAATACAACCACATCATTTATCAGTAGCAGACTCTGCGATCCCGATTCCCATTGTTAATGGAATCTCATGGTTGTTAGGTAAGGCAACTTCCAGAGGGGTTCCAACAACCAAGTCAGTGGGGAAGCCAGAAAGAAATTGCAAGTCCCTGGCAGCTTGTAAGATAGACCAAGCAGGAAAGGAGCTGAGAGGGAGGGTTGGGGAGGGTTGGTGTACTGCAGGGCCAGAGTGGGTGTGCAAGGATGTGATGGAGTCTTGGAGGTTATAAGAGAATATATCCTTAATTCTCCATCTTTCTTGGTGCACTGATGCATGCCCCCGGCCAATTTTGCAGTTGTTCGCTTTGGAAGCCAACATAGTTGTCCTTCTTCCTTTCTGCTGGTCACAGGTGTTGTATGAGCTTCCTACCTCTACCCAGTGGTGCTTCGATGTGCAGTGGTGTCCCAGGAATCCTGCCCTTCTCTCTGCTGCTTCTTTCGATGGGAAAATCAGTGTTTACTCGATCATGGGAGGAAGCACCGATAGCCTGCGACAAAAACAAGCGGACAAGGTATCTCATTTTTTTTTGAAAAATGGGGAAAAGGAAGGTTTTGCAGTTTACAATGAAACACATAAAAATAAATGATTGAAAATTTGGGCTGTCTCAGAACTCTGTGTTCTTGGTGTCTCAGTGAGGCTTTAAAATGTCCACCAGCCAAGGAGGAACAGATCCGATGCTGGCCAGTACTAGTGGCTCTTTGGCTGTGTTCATTTTTCATCCTCCAATCCACTGTTTAAGATATATGTTTAAGATATATGGACTTCAACTCCCAGAATTCCTTAGTCATCCATGCTGGATTGGGAATTCTGGGAGTTGAAGTCCAGGCATCTTAAAAGTTGAGAAGCATTGCTCTAATCCTCACCTATAATCCTTTGATTTTAAAAACAAGCGCCGAAAGCCCTTTTGATAAATGGTAAACAGATTCTGACACACGAAAGTTTGCCCTGGAATTGGATTGAGCTAAAGACCAAGGAATAATTTCCTCTTTCTCTTCTGTTTTCAAAAGCTCTCCTCGTCTTTTGGCGATCTGGATCCCTTCGGAACAGGGCATCCCCTTCCTCCATTGCACCTCCCACAACAGACCACCCTGCAGAGCACTGTTCTTCCTCTGAAGAAGCCACCCAAGTGGATTCGTCGACCGGTGGGAGCCTCTTTTTCCGTAAGTCTCTGCTGTTTAGATCAAACAGGCATGATATTCTTCCGATTAAAATCGGAATTCCGATTTTTTTGGGAATCCCCCCCCCTTTCCCCCCACCCCTTCTTCTCCTCCTTCCCCTCCCCTCAGAGGCCCTGAGTCAGGAGTTGCTGGCGCGGCTCCGCGCGGCTCCAGTCCCGCGTTGCCTCAGGAAGGGAAAGGCAAAAAGGAAGAGCCGCGGCGGCGCTTTGCAACGGCAGCAGCGGCTCCTGGTTTTGCCTTTCCCTTCCCAAGGCAATGCGGGACTGGAGCCGCATGGAGCTGCGCTGGCGGTAGCAACTCCTGACAGCCCCAGCCGGATACCTGAGCGGAGCCCGGGCGGTGCGAGCGGAGGCCGCTGAGCGGCAGGAAAAGGGAGCTGGGCCAGCCACAGACCAGCCTCCGTGCAACACGCCGCCGCCCGGCCCTGGCGAGGGAAAGCAGCGGGCGCTCCCCGGGCGCGCGGTGGGGGGTCTGTTTTGGCCGGCCCCGATTTTTTTTTCAGAGCGGAATATCATGCCTGATCAAAGAAAGAGGCATGGTGTACCTACTGATCAGTTTTATGCAGGATGCTTCACAGAAATCTGTGCCTTTATTTTGCAGAAACCTTTGTGTAGAATAAGGCATCCATCACGTCTTGGGCAGAAGAATGTATTTTAAATGTATTTATCCAATGTCAACACTGCCATTCTTGGGGTGTCTAATCACACTTGACCAATAAAAAGTTATATTCTAATTCAGTGGTCGCCAACCAGTGGGCCGGGGACCACTGGTGGTCCGCGAGAAAATTTTGGTGGTTCGCAGAGAAATGTCCCCCCCACCAAAGCAATTAATCCAGGCTGTGCGGGAACACAAGGCTGCGCCACCCACATGGCCCGCCCACCCGCTGGCCCCCATTCTTCAGCCAAGTGCAAACCTTACCTTGAATAGAGCCACACGAGCTGGAACTGCAAGGTAAGACAACGGCGGGGAAGGGAAATCCGCCCCGGGGTGGCTTGCTGACGTTGGTGGGAAAGTCGGTCCCATATTCCAGAGCTGCAGTAGTCACAGGACTGGTCCTTTGGTCATCCCGGAGCAGCTGCTCCTCCACCTGGGTGCACCAGCCTGCCAGGGAGTGGAGGAGCTGCTCCGGGATGACCAAAGGGCCAGTCCTGTGACTACTGCAGCTCTGGAATATGGGACTGACTTTCCCACCAACGTCAGCAAGCCACCGTCAGACAAAATTCATATTAGTGGTCCGCGGGATTTAAAATTATGAGTTTGATGGTCCCTGACCATCAAAAAGGTTGGCGACCCCTGTTCTAATTGCTTGACACTATGGGCAGCTTACAGAAAAAGAAGAAAAACAACACTTAATTAAAAAGAGATCATGGCTGACCAGGAGAACAAAGCAGCTAGTCGTAAACCAAATATAGTACAGCAAGTCCTTGACTTGCAGCCATTTGTTTAGTGACCATTGGAAGTTACAGTGGCATTGAAGGTGCCATTGGGCTCATGTGTTTGACATTTGCAGCCAGCTTTCCAACCAGCTTCCAACAATCAGACTCAATGGAGGAAGCCCGATTCACTTAACGATTAAATGATTCACTTAACAGCTGTGGTGATTTGCTTAACAACTGTGGCGAAGAAGATAAAACCGGGTGTGACTCTGTTAATAACCTTGCTTAGTAACAGAAATGTTGGTGCCAAGTGTCATAAATCGAGGATTACCTTATAACTGAAGGGGTCTCCAGTGGAGTTTTGCTTTTCAAAAGGCAACTAGATTTTTGTTTTCTTCTTGAAGATGTTTTGAAAAGCACCTTTGGGATAACCATGACTTGGCATGACTGAGAATCTCCATGGACAATCTGTGGAGCTTATCGTTCATTTGTTTGCATTTGGTATAAACCTCCAAGAATGCTTTACCTCTGGTTATAATAAACAGGAGGCACAGCTTTTTGTGTAACAATTTTAACACAAGGACAGAAAAGTACATCACTTGTAGCATAATTAAGTACCTAACAGCAACCACGCCAAACAGGTATGATTTAAATTTTGCCTTACTTGTTCAACTCTTGTTGAATTTATGGTTGTATTTTACCCTCTTTGAATTAATATTCCTAATTTCAGAAATTGTTTTTATTTTAGATCTGTTTTAATTCAATATTTGTTTGTTTTTAATTGGTATTGTATAACCTAAATGGAGAGTGTAGTCCACTAGACCTAGACAAAAAGGGGCTGCCAACTTCTGTTCTAAGAGTGCTGGTTTCGTATATAGTATTCACAAGTGTGTTTCATATTGCCGGCTCCTTGCGAAGCAGACTGTTGCAATTCCCACAAATCATATTGAGAATATGTCAACTATCTAGTTGTATGAGCAGGCATGGATAACAGTACCACTGATTGCTTGAATTCCAGTTTGGAGGGAGGCTGGTCACTTTTGAGAATAACAAGACTCAACAGCAAGGAGAACATCCCCAACAGCCCTACCACGTCTACGTTAGTCAAGTTGTCACCGAGATGGAATTCTTGAACCGGTCCAACCAGCTGCAGGAAGCGGTTCAGGCCGAAGCCTTCTCCAGCTACTGTCAGAAGAAAATCGATGTAGCCAAAAATGACTTCGAGAGGAACGTGTGGTCATTCCTCAAGGTGATTTTTTCAGGGTTGATTGCGTACAGAATCTCTCACTCACTTTAAAAACAAGAGGTGTGCAATAATCAGATCCAAAATGGAAAATATTTTGGGATCAGCATGGGTGCCACAGCACTTGCAGTTCTCAACTTATGACCAATTGCTTATCAAGCATTCTGAGTTATAACAGACCTATTTTGGATCTACTTAAACGACCCAAATTCATAGTTCTGGTAGTCGCATCACCCCCCCTAAGGGGGCACATTGAACGAACTTCGAGTGCAGCATCCCACGGTCATGTGATCATGTTTTATGATGGTTTTGCCAAAAAGTGGACCTGGCAAAAGTTAATTGCTTTGCTACAGAGTTTCAAATCTATGATTTAAAATTTACCACAGTGTACAGCAATTGTTTGGCAGAAGGGTCTTGCACTGCAAATGCAGGAAGAATGCAAAAACTAGCTATTCTCTCAAATGCTTTCTTTCCTGGGTTTTTTTTATATTTTTCCTAAGGTGCATTTTGAGGAAGACTCCCGTGGCAAATATCTGGAACTCTTGGGGTACAAAAAAGATGGCCTGGGACAGAAGGTAAATGTGGCTACACTGCATTTTGAAGGACTACATTAAAAATATTCATCACAGATTAAATTGCCTTTTGGGTTTGGTTTGGAAGAAATCACGGGGATATGGGGTAGAAAATAGATTGTGGCAAGAATTAAATGCCTTCCACCTCTCGATAATCTTAAGGAGCCTGTTCTCTGATTAATAAAATGCTCAGGAATTACTAGTAATTAACGAATTTATGAAATTCCTATTAATTGCTTGAAATATCATCCTTTATTTTTGCTGATAAATTCTTAGTCTAAAGCAGCCTTTCCCCAATCTTTATTTTTACCTTGGAAGAACTTCTGAAATAATTTGGTGGGGTTGTCTAAAAATTGCAAAACAGAGCAAAACAATAGAATTCATTTCTAACCAACACAACCAACCTTTTTCAGCCCTTACTTGGCACCCGAGTTGCAGCACGTAAGAATCTCCCACTGCTGCTAATGCCAGGACTATACAGTGCGCACAGCTCAAAAAAGATGTTTGTGTTCTTTTTTGTTTCCATTGTAATTTCTAGTGGACTCGTGTGGAAAAAGACAGGTATACATTATTTTAATAATAGAGATATCCACAGAGTGTTTCTTCCTTGAATATATCACTCAACTGGGTCAACTAACACACAGGGACAGGTGGATGAGATCGGGAAGAACGGGGGGGGGGGGGGAATCACATTTTTAGTATTGCATTCGTTGTTTCAGTATCATCGTTCAGGATCTGGCTTCAGATAAATTGAAAATATTTAAGCCTTTTGCCTGGTTTTTTGTTTTTTAAAGAAGTTAAAGCTAAGAAGCTTCTTCTCCAAAATAAACGTTACACCATTTGTTTTGTTTCCTTAGATTACTTCAACTCTTGCTAAGGAGAGTCCTCAGGGCAGAGATCAAGATGAGGTAAATAATAATAATCCAGTGCATTTTTTTTTTCTTTTTTAATTTGATAAAGTTTGGAAAGTAGCACTTTTTCACCTCGACTTTGTTGCAGCCCAGTGCTTATATAGTGAAAAATAAGAATTTAAAATCCTGACAATGCAACACCCATTCAGGGAAAACATTGGTCTCTACAAGGGGATGTGTGGAAAACTCAGTATTCATTGCAATTTATTAGTTTTACTCTAAACTATGATTTTACGCACTGGGGGTATGCACAGGTCCACCTGCAGCGTGAATCACTTCAAAGGATTACAAAACTACAGTTTTTATTGCTCATCTTTCACAGAAGCTAATTGCTGGCTCAAGCTGAGCTGGGCATCTTCTTCATGTTATCCTTTGTACACCTCCCTGAATCCCAGTTTGACTCCCAGTTTCATCCCAAAGTATTTCCTCCTCATTCCTCTGCAGCTGTAGTCTAGCTTTCTCCTTTCCTTCTTTTACGGCATGGTTTCTCTTTCTGCAGAGTGTTTGATTTTGATACATTTTTCTTGCTTTGTATTTATCTTAAATTATTTTTTTCCTTTTATAGATGATAGATGAAGATGATAGATAGATAGATAGATAGATAGATAGATAGATAGATGATAGATAGATAGAATAAGATTGTATACTTACTTTAGATCTTTATTTCAATTTTTATTCTTATTTTTCTCCTAGAAGCATGCATAACAACAACAGAGTTGAAAATAAATTTTGGAATAGCAAAGTAAATAAGCAATACAAAGCAGAAGGAATTTCATTATCCAGTACAGGGAAAAGTCTATTCAGGTTATCTCCGAAACAAGTCTATGTTTGCATACCTTCAAAACATTCAGGAAATGCCCCCGTGGTTGAACGGCTGAAAGTGAAGAGGGAGGCAACCTAAAAAAAGAGTCGCTGATGGATTTCTTAACCATTTAGCAGACCCCATTAAGATCTATTAAGAACTCTAATCAGTCCGTGGGTCAACCCCAAATTTGTCCATGAAAAAGACTCCTTCAACCTGGCACTGTATAAATATGCTAGACTACAATTCCCTTCACACACACACACACACGTGTGTGTGTGTGTAAGGGGAGCTGTAGTATGACATGTTTGTAAGGTGCCAAATCAGCAAAGAATATTCTAGAACAGTGGTTCTTAAAACTGGAGGTAATTATCCTCAAGTAGGAGATGCGGTGACTCAATGCTTAATGACGCTGGAGATGGTTTCTGCTCCGGTGGTTCGAGTCCCAGAACTGTGTGTCAGGGTGAGCTCCTGTCACCCATCTCGGCTTCTGTCTATTTAACAGTTTGAAAGCATGTTCTATGCAGGTAGATAGATACCGTGTTTTCCCGAAAATAAGACCTAGCCTGGTTTTTTAAGTATGGGCCTGCCCCAAAATTAGGCCCTAGTGAAGTGGATGGGCATGGCCAGTACAGGAGGCAGCCCAACCACGTGTCCCCTCACAAATAAGGCAGGAATCCTTAAGTCAGCACTTAGCACGGTACCTCCTTCCCTTCCCCGGTCACCTCATGGAGGCTCGGCCCTTTCCCAACCTGCCAGCATGACTCCAATCTGTGCGTAGGAGGAGGATCCGAGCTCCAGTGTCCCGGTAGTAGCAGGGCCAGCAGGCAGGGCCAGCAGAGGCCAGGGCACGCCTGTTCTGGCTGCAGGCAAACACATGGTAGACAGGGCTGGGTTGGCGATAGCAGTGCTCCCACTCCCATTGGCCCCCGCGCTCAACGCCTCCTGTACATTAAAAAAAGCTCTAGTGCAGTGACGGCTAACCCTTTCCACATTACATGCCAAAAGTGCGCGCTCGCGTGCCTGCACCCATGTTGCGACGTGTGCACGATTCCCCCGCCCCCTGCACCGCATGCCCCTGCGCATGCACACACTTCTCCCCCACGCACGTCTCCCCCGCGCATGTGCAGCCGATACCAGACCAGCTGGCTGGAGGGGGGGGGCATGTGCATGGGCAGTGGGGCTCTTCCGGGCGACCTGTCGTGTGCCGGCAGAAGCGGCTCTGCATGTCACTTCCGGCATGCGTGCCATAGGTTCGCCTAGTGCTTATTTTTGACCCAAAAAAATTAAGATTGGGTCTTATTTTCAGGGAAACACGCTAGGTACCACTTTGGTGGGGAGACGAGCTGGTACTCTGTGCAGGCAATCAGATTCCTAACCCCTCTGAACCTCCCCAGTTGCAGTGCCCATTGGCAAGGCTGCTCCAGGAATGCCGCCCCAGGAGGCCTTGGTGATGCTGTAGAAAGAGCCGCTCGCCTTTCTCTCTGGGGCGAAGCCAGCTCGCCATCCTGTGGCGCACCTTGGAAGCGCGCATGGGTGTCCTACGACAGGGCTGGTATCTTGGCAAGCCAAACTGCTACTACTCTGCACTAGCATTTGTGGTCTCCCGGCTAACGTAACAAGGCTCTATGCCAGGGGTGGGCAAACTTTTTGGCTCGGGGGCCGCATTGACTTTTAAAATTTGACGGACGGGCCGGGTCAGCACAAGATACGATACATATAAAAAACTGCATTTGTTAACAGTTCCCCTTTTCAAAGCGAGGGGAGGAAAGAGTTTTGTTTTTTAAGCGGGAGAGACGCCTGCCGTACTCGGGGTAGGAAAAATAACTATTTTTTTCTCCGAGACACCCTCCAAAACTCAAGTTTGGTGTCATAGTTAAATTTGCACAACATAGATAGATAGATAGATAGATAGATAGATAGATAGATAGATAGACAGATTCTTCCCCTACGAATAAACGACTGTGTGTGTGTATGTGTGTATGAATGTACCCCCTCAGCTTACAAAAGTTGGCCACTTATAAGATAAAAAATAAATAAATGCCCACCCCCCAAAACATAACTCCTCCGGTGCCCATGGATAAACTGTGAACCACCAATTAGTAGCAGGGCTGACCCTTCCTCTTGAACCAACGTCTAATTGGGGGGAGCAGACCGGCCTTCAGTCTCTTGCGAGAAACTGCTGGCTAACCCTGCAAAACGCTTGCCGAGGTGTGTGTGTGTGGGGAGGCTTTCGCTTGCCTTTCCCCCCACCCACCGAGCGCCCATTCCGCCGCCGCTTTTGCCATTAAACCACGAGTCCTCCCGGGCGCTTGGGAAGCCCGCTCGGCAGGAAACATCTACGCGCCTCTCCCAGGACCTGCCCGCTCCGCCCAGCCTCCCCTCCCGGCTTACCTTGAAGGCCACAGGGAGGGTCTTGTTGCATCTCCAGTGGGAAAACAGCACCAAGCACAAGAAGTTGGGGCTGTCGGGCCTCACCAGTTCTCCCGGATGATCGGCCAGGACGTCCACCACCGAACACACCTCGGTCTGGCTGCGAGGTCCCGGGACCGGCGCGCTGAGGGCGCCGCTGTTCTCTCCCATCTTACCGCAGGGGAAGGCCATGGAGGGAGGTGTGAGCGCCTGCTGGTGCTCGGGTCTACGGGAATACGCATCACAACAGCGGGCGTTAGGGGAGGAAGGAGGCGGCGGCAGAGCTGCTGCTGCTGGCCGAGAGGCGAGGGAAAGGCGCGCCTAGGGCGCAGCGAGCCAGATGCCCAAGATCACACGGTGGGCCGCTCCGAAGCCGGGCACAGAAGAAAACCGCCCCAGCCCCCCCTGTGCAGGTCGGGCCCTCGCCGCCACTGCCAGTCCCGGCCGCTCCGGCCACCAGTTGCTCCTTGGGGCGCAGCTTTTCCCATGGCCCCGTTGTGCTTCTCGTGCTCCTCGATACCGGCGGTGCTCGGGGCTCAGGCGCCTCGGCAGAGGGGGATTCCCTGGGACCGAGAGATCTGAACCGGCTGCTGCAGCTCCAACGCGCCTCCTCCTGCCTCTCGGCTTCGCTGTCCCGTGGCTCTGGGTTCCAGAGTGCAGCCCCAAAGTCTGCCCGCCACGGTGGGGAGCCCGGAGGTGCTCAGCGGGTGGTTGGCCAAACCCCAGAGTGCTCCTTTGGTGCTGCCTCCCACGCCCCCTTTCAAATCAAACGTGGCTCAGGCGAAATGAAGCTGGGTTCTGTCGGTGGTGGCCGCGAGAGCAGCGCTCAGGGCTCCTTCTCCCGCAGTCACGATGGAGGGGCAGGGAGGCGAGCCGGCAGCATCCCGCGCTCCTCTCGGCTCGGCAGCTTCTCTCCCCGCGAAGGGACTGCGACGAGACCTCAACAGGTTTCAGCTCTCTTCGCTCCGCCGGGCTCCTGCCCCCGTTTCCTGCTCTGCCTGACAAGCCCGCCAGGCGCCCTACTTGCTCTCCACCACCCGCCCTCCGCCTCAACCACCTCCTCTCAACGCGTCTGAAAGCAGCCAAAAAGTGGCCGCGGTTACATACGGACCAATCTTCGGCGGGCCACATAAAAAAGACCAACGGGCCGGATGTGGCCCGCGGGCCGTAGTTTGCCCACCCCTGCTCTATGCTAATACTACTAATAATTGCCCCCAACAAGAATATTTGGAGATATCCTGGTGGCCAACCTTAAGTATGGTTTCTGCTACACTTCCTCACATTGCTGCTCTGTTGGTGTGGGTTGAAGGTCACCTGTTATTATTTTAACAAGCAGTAGATATTTGGGTTCTTCAGAAAGGGAAATGTTGAAAGAAAGAAAGAAAAAGATAGGGTTCTTCTCCTCGTTGCTATAACTCTAGGTTTACTAACCTTACACTTTTTGGGAGACATCTTGGGGCTATTTGGAGGCTTATTTGCATTGGTTAAGGAGTTGGTTTCTTTGCTTTAATCTTTCCAACGTCCTCTTCATATCGGTGAGAAAGGCTCACGAGGAAGCTGACATGCTTGCACAGCCTGATGGTGGAGAGGGTCTTGCCGCTAAGGACCAGCTGTTTGCAGAGGTATTCAACCCCCTTTTTGTGCTAAACATGCAAACTGACTCAACATTGGTAGTGAATGTGAGTGATTTTGCATTGGCTCCCAACTAACCTGTTTGCTTATGTGTGTTATCTCATGTCCTCAGGTCTGTACAAATAGTCCTTGGCTTACAACATTGTTTAGCGACCGTTCAAAGTTACACCAGCACTGGAAAAAAGGGACCTACGACCGTTTTTTAACACAACTGCTGAAGCATCCCCATGGTCGCATGATCAAACTTCAGGCGCTTGGCAACTGTCTCATATTTATGATGGTTGCGGCATCCTCCAGGGTCACGCGATCCCCTTTTGTGACCTTCTGACCAGCCAAGTTAATTGGGAAGCCAGAGTCACTTAACAACCGCGTTGCTAACTTAACGGCGGCGCTTCGCTTAAGCACTGTGTCAAGAAAGGTTGTAAAGTGGGGCAAAACTCAATGTCTCACTTAACAACGGAAAGGTTGGGCTCCATTGTGGTCATAAGTTGAGGTCTATTTGTATCCCTGGGACTGACTTTAAACTGAGACGGTATTCAAATTTACCTTCGGAGTTTAGCCATATTTGACTTAGCAGCAAGGAGGTTCCCTGCGGTGATTGGATGTTTTGGAAATAAATGTGTTCTGACCCAGCTCCCCAAACACGACAAACCCTCTGAAGTGAACTCAAAGATTCCTTTATTAGGAGCGCCGGCAGCCCCGGCAAAAAGTTTCTCTCTCAACGCAGGCGAACAAGACCAGCCGGCCAGGAGATGAATAGTTGTCTGCCACTTCTATTCATTTCCACCCCCTGCCTTTTATCCCCAGAGCTAGGGTGGGGCTTCGCTAGCAGCGGTGGCTCTTCCTTCCCAAGGGTCAGCCCACAGATTTCCACTGCTCTCCTCTCCTCTGCTTTCTGCACATCCACACATCAGGCCCTGGACCCAGCTGTTCCTCCTCTTCCTCATCAGCCACCTCCAGACCTGGGGGCTGTTGACTCTCCATCTGAGGGCTAACGGACGGCCCAGGCTCTGCCTCTGACAGCTCCAATCCCTCTTCCCCCTCGGAGCTCTCAGGTTGCCCTGATGCTGGCCCTGACTCCCACCCTTCTTCCTCCTCCTCTGATTTGGCTGCTGGAAGGGCCGGAAGCTGACAAAATGAAGCTGGTGTGTATTTTGCACATGTGGGTAGACCTCAACTTATGATTGGTCAGTTAGCACTCATTTGAAATTATAATGGAGCGACGGCCACCCTCCCATGATCACATGACTGTATTTAAGCTGCTTGGCCAACCAGCTTGGATTTAGGACCCCTTGCAGTCACACGACAGCGTTTTAAAGCATTTTTGCCAAAACCTCCCCATACCGAATAATTTGGTTTGCTTAACGGTTGTGGCGTTTGCTTACCACAATTGCTGTAAAAAGATCGTAAAATGGGGTCCGCGACGTGGGTGGCCTACTTTATGACTGTCGCGACTTACGATCAAAATGAGCAGGCTCCATTACCATTGTAAGTCAAGGACTAACATTGCACAATAAATTTTAATGAAAAGTCACTAAATGTATCGTTGTGCACCCTCAGCTCGTACCTCTATAGATATTTCATAACATGACAATTTGATAATAGGGCAGAAATGATTATACACCCAGTCCTTGTGCCTGTTTGCTCAAAATTAAGTTCCATGGAGTTTGTTCCCAAGATGAATGAGCAGAGGAGTAAAAATGTAAATATACCATTTCTTACCAGAGTGAGTAGGATAACATAAATTATTGTTAAGTGGCAGTTTTGATTTCAGCGCAGCTTTGTCACAATGTTTCCCACCATAAAGCTCATTATAATTGGAATGTATTTAAAAATAACAAGAGAAGGAAGAAAGTGAGTATTATATGATATGGGATTTATTTTATCAATAGTTGGAAAACAAAAGTGGATGTTAGAAATCAAAGAAGATTAGCGCAAAATAGTAAACGTGGTAAGAATTAAAACTGTGAAGATGAGGAATGTTATAAGAATTAGATATATGATGCAGATAGTACTAAGTAAGAATAGAGTATTAAAGTTAAGCAATGAATATGTATAAATTATAATGGTTATTGCACAAGAGATTTATACCCTGATGACACACTGTTCAAATGAAAGATGGAATGTTTGTATAAATAAAATTAAAAAATTACAAATAATAACAACAACAACAACAACATGTTCCGAAACTATGTTAAGCTGCATTGTTTTTCCCCTTCCAGAGTAAAAACACTGAGTTTGATTCACTGCAACCCATCAATGAAACCTTTAACATTTCTGTCACCGGAGGTAAATAATATATATAAATATATCTTACATACTAAATGGGTTACTAAACGGAGTTAATTTTCTATATTTGATTCTAAGATTATGGTGATAACCGTTGTCATTTAGCCTTTAAAGCCCTTTATGGCTTGGGTCCGGGTTATCTAAGGAAACATGTCCTGCCAGTCCCATCCACCCGACCCATTAGAGCGAGGACGCAGGGAATGTTGCGGGTCCCACCCCTGAGGGAGATACACCTGGTGGGACCCAGAAGAAGGGCCTTTCCCGTAGTGGCTCCGTCTCTCTGGAACATCATTCCCCCAGAGATTAGAATGGCCCCCTCACTAATACTCTTCCAAAAGGCACTGAAAACCTTGGTTTTGCCAGAGGGCCTGGGAAACCCAGAGAGGGATGGAGCCCATCAAATGGCTAGTGGGATTTGCTGTCTTCAGGGCGGGGGGGGGGGGGGTGGGTTCCCCCCCCCCCCAAATTTTGTTCTTTTGTACTTTACTAATTTATATGATTCTTTTTGTTAGTTTTTATTGTTTTTGTTTTTATTTTTTGTTTTAAATATGGTTTTACATTGTGTAAGCCTCCTCGAGTCGCCCTGGGCGAATAGGCGGCAATACAAATTCAATAAATAAATTGTCTTTGTTTCTGTGTTCTCCTTCATGCAGACATTGATGGTTTGATCACTCAGGCTTTGCTGACGGGGAACTTTGAAAGTGCCGTTGACCTTTGCCTGCACGACAATCGCATGGCTGACGCCATTATCCTTGCCATAGCTGGTGGCCAAGAACTGTTGTCCAAGACGCAGAAGAAGTATTTTGCGAAAACAAGAGGCAAAATCACCAGGGTAGGTGGAAGCAAAGATAAAAATTGGTAAACCTCATGATTATCTCCCTCCTCTTCCTCTTATCCGCCTCCCCAAACCCTTGGATAATCCTGAGAATAGCCAAGCAGACATGTATTTACAAAAGGACGCATCATTTTTTGTGTGTGTGTGTTCAGTGAGTTTTACTCCATTTTACGACCTTGCTTGCCACAGTCGTTAAGTGAATCACTGCAGTTGCTAAGTCAGTCATGCAGTTGTTAAGTGAATCTGGCCTCCCCCATTGACTTGGCTTGTAAGAAGGTCGCAAAAGGGGATCACGTGTCCTCGAGACACTGCAGTGGTCATAAATATGAATCATTTGCCAAGCGTGTGAATTTGGATCATGTGACTTTATCAGGATGCTGTAATGGTCATAACTAAAAACTGGTCATAAGTGACATTTTTTCAGGGCCGTTGTAACTACAAATAGTCACTAAACAAAAAGTATAAATTGAGAACTACTTGTGCATCAACATAAGCCATGGAAAAATTAAAAGAACAGATTGGACTGAACCCTTGATGTCCAGTGTGAGGTAATGTTACAAGGAATAGAGAAGGAGACGTTGCTTTCAACTGTGTATTCTGTGTAATAGGAGAGTCTGGCAGCTGAAATTTAAAGCCTAGCTCAGGAGTTAAATCCACTTCTGACTCTGGATAGATGCCAAGATCTGACTCAGACGAAAGCTCCCTTGAAGGCAGAGTCCCCAGCCGCTTCGGGGCGTGGGGCGGCTGCCCGTGTCCCCTCGCCTTTAGGGCAGTCTCTTTCGGGCGATGGAAGCTCCCCAAAGGCAGTCACCAGCCACTTCGATCGGCCGGTAGAAGCGGCCTCGGGGCGAGCGTGCACACACACACACACTCCCCTCGCCGCAAAGCCGCTTCTATCGGCAGACGAAAGCTCCCTTGAAGGCAGAGTCCCCAGCCGCTTCAGGGCGAGGCGTGCCTACCAGGTTCCCAACTGCAATCTCAATGCAACTGCAAGCTCAATGCAATGGACATATGCTGTTGTCAGAATAAATATCAGACGACCCCAAGATTCCCGCTGCATTTCTGCTTCCTGAGCCAGCCGCTCTTCTTCGTCCCCTCAAATAGCCCTATCCCCCCCCCCACCCGGCCTCGATTTCCCACTGCAACCATTTGGATCGCAGGAGGGTCGCTAAAGAAGCTTTTGTCTTCTCCTGTCCCACTCTTTTAAACTTCTCTCTGCAGCCTTTGATCACATTGCCTTTGATCACAAAGCAGATCTTAATGATAAACAACCCTTTTGTAACTTTTGCTGTAAAGTTGCTGCTCTGCTCTGAACCTGTAACACGTCTGCTTCTGTTTGAGTTTGCTCTTGGAGAAATCTACAACTAGTATTGTAAAATTTACTTTATATGTTTATAAAGAAGTTAAATGATAAGTCACCTACCATGTTTCTCCAACAATACGACCTCCCCCCAATAGGAAGACCCAGCATGTTTTCTAGGCATAAAATGAAATTAAGCCCCTTCCCCCAATTATAGGCCTATTTTAAAACATGCAAAATGGGGGGAAGGGCGGGGGTACTTGCCGTTAGGAGCGCCCCACGGGCAGCAATTCCTCGCCACCAGTTGCTCCTAATGGGCGATCACGGCAGAGCGCGGAGAGCTCCCTACTCCTGCCAAGCACCTTTGCGGCAGACCCAAGACCTTCAGCGCCCGCTGATGTTGATTTCCCTTCTGCCCATGCCGCCGCCGCGTTTGGAGCTGCCACTTCCATGTTTGGAGCACCACTGCCGTTTGGAGCTGCCGCTTCTGCATTTGGAGCTGCCGCTGTTTGGAGCACTGCTGCTGTTTGGAGCTGCCGCTTCCGCATTTGGAGCTGCCGCTTCCGCGTTTGGAGCACTGCCGCTGTTTGGAGCGCCGCCGCCATTTGGAGCGCCGCCGCCACTCCAAACACGTCGGCAGCTCCAAACGTGGAAGTGGCAGCTCCAAACATGATGCCGGTGCTCCAAATGGCGGCGGCACTCCAAATGGCGTGGCACTCCAAACACGGAAGCGGCAGCTCCAAACGTGGCGGCGGAATGGGCAGAAGGGAAAGCAACAGCGGCGGGTGCCAAAGGTCTTGGGTCTGCAACAAAGGTGTTTGGTGGGAGTAGGGAGCTCTCTGCGCTTTGCCATGATCACCCGTTAGGAGCGGCTGGTGGTGAGGCTGCCCACGGGGCGCTCTAGATGAGGATGCAAGGGGGAGGGAATTAAGTCACCCCCGAAAAGACGGCCTAGCCATTTTTGGGGGGCTCAAAAAAATATAAGACCCGGCCTTATTTTATGAGAAACACGGTATGTATAGTTTCCTGGCACTGAATTTACATTGCGATATTCTGAACAGTTCATTTAGTGACCGTTCAAATTTCCAATGGCACTGAAAAAAGTGATTTACGACAATTTTTCACACTTACAACTGTTGCAGCATCCCCATCAAGCAAATTTAGAAGCTCGGGAACTGACTCATCTTTATGACGGTTGCCGTGTCCCAGAGGGCCACGCATTCCACTTTTGCGACCTTCTGACAAGCAAAGTCAATGGGGAAGCCAGGTTCACTTAACAACCATGTGACTAACAAGTGCAGCTGATTCACTTAGCAACTCCGGCAAGGTCATAAAATGGAGCAAATATACTTAACAACTCTCACTTAGCATCAGAAATTGGGGGCTCAATTGTGGTTGTAAGTCAAGGACTGCCAATACTGTGACAACGGAGGAAACAAGTTTCAACATTGGCTCCAGAGTTAGTCATTCCTCATGTAGACCTGTAGAAATCAGAGGGATTTGGGTTAGTCATGACTGATTGTCTTGACTTCAGTGGATCTCTTGTAAATATGAGCCCCCATAGAGCCAAGTCAGTGCCCAGCATAAAGAAATGTGATGTGGAGCTTTCCATATGCCCTGGGATTTATTTGCTTGCACTGGAAGTTAGTGATGGCCAAATTCTGTGGGGTGGGGCGGGCGCGATCCCCACCTATCGATTGGGGAAGGGTCTCTTGTGTGTTCCTGGGTCTCATTACTCAGTAAAATACTCAACAGTGGAGAAGGGGCATTTTGCAGATATTGTTGACGTTTGTGTATGTGTGTGTCCCCCCCCCCCCCCCCATTCCAGCTCATCACTGCTGTTGTGACCAAGAACTGGAAGGAGATTGTCCAGTCATGTGATTTGCAAAACTGGAAAGAGGCCTTGGCAGCTGTGCTGACTTACGCTAGGCTGGATGAATTTGCAGTTCTTTGTGGTAAGCCAGATGGGCATTAACAATTCTATATATTCCTCTGTCTCCATCCCCATATATATATGTGTGTGTGTGTGTGTGTCTATCTCTCTCTGTCTCTTTCTCTCTCTCTGTCTCCCTCTCCCTCTCTGTCTCTCTCTGTCTCTCTGTCTCTCTGTGTGTGTGTCTCTTTGTGTCTCTCTGTCTTCCCCCCCCTCTCTCTCTCTGTCTCTCTCTCTCTCTGTGTCTCTCTTTGTGTCTCTCTGTCTCCCTTTCTCTCTCTCTCTCTCTCTCTGTGTCTCTCTTTGTGTCTCTCTGTCTCCCTCTCTCTCTGTGTGTGTGTCTCTCTGTCTCCCCCCCTCTCTCTCTCTGTCTCTCTCTCTCTCTCTGTCCCTCTTTGTGTCTCTGTCTCCCTTTCTCTCTCTCTCTGTCTCTGTCTCTCTCTCTCTGTCTCTCTTTGTGTCTCTCTGTCTCCCTCTCTCTCTCTCTCTCTCTCTTTGTGTCTCTGTCTCCCTCTCTCTGTCTCTCTCTCT